CTCCCCGCCGTGAGCTGCATGTGCCCGGCGGCCGGCGGGGGCGCATCTCTCCACGGGCCCGGGCTCTCTGCACGGCCTGGGGAACGTCTGCCTGGGCCTTTTGCCCGTTTTTGATCAGGTTGCTTTCTGGTGTTGTTGCCACTGTCTTCAAGTGGTGTGAGTTGCTGACTTTGGAAAGTGACTCAAAACCAGGGTGGTGACGAGGTGGGGCAGGGGGAAGGGGTGGTGCAGCCCCCGGAGCGTGGCAGTGGGGAGTGAAGCTGGGGTACCTGTCGGGGTGCATGGCTGTGCTCCCCAAACCACAGTTGAGTACATGAATGCTAAACCACAATTTGATTTAAAAAAAGAGAGAGAAACTGACTTTTCACAAGGTCTATAGGAATCTGTGTGGGGAGATCCTTGACTGTGAGAATCTGGGCGACAGTGAGGTCTCCGTGTGCTGTGGTTTGAGGGGTTGGGGGGGTGCAGACACTCTTCACATTAGAGCTCCCAGCCCATGGCTCACCCCGAGACTCCCAGAGACCATGAGACCAGACCAGGAGGTCGTCCTCGTCGCTTGCGGACACTGGTGTTTCCTGAGGGATCAGCCATCCTGTATTTTACCCGCGGTTTGCGGCTACTGAGCTCACAGCCTCAGCCTCCCGCAGCAGACGCTTCCTCGCAAGCCAGCAGTTCACTGAGCCTTCACGGGCTCACTTTTCTTTTAACCGCGGGCAGGGCGGCCCCCGCCTTTCCCTCTTTGGCCCAAGCTCTGCCGTCTGTCTGGTCTTTTCTTCCCTGATACAGTAAGTGCCCGGCAGACACTCGGCGGGGCCGGGGAGTCAGGGCGGGGAGTGAAGTTTCAGCGTCAGCATCCACACGGAGAATGGATTTATATCCCTGAGTATCAAAATGAGGGTAATGAAGAGCTTCTGCATTTCATTTGTCTTTTCTCTTTGTTCTTTTATGCCGGAGCCTTTCCCTGAGGAAGACTGTGCGGCCTCACTACCCCTCACTCACCGCCTTGCAGCGCCCCCTCCTCGGCCAGCTCGGACCCTGGGAAAAGGCGCCTGAGACCTCGGGGGGGGGGGGGCAGCCCACCGCCCCCAGACGGCACCCCCGCTGGGCGTGGGGCTTCAGAGGCCATCAGAAGCTGTGGCTGGGCCCAGGGCCCAGGGAGCGTGTTGGGGTGAGCGGCGTGGCACGGAGCTAACCTCCCAGCCCCTCCAGCTCCTCTGTCTGCGATTCCAACTTCAGAAATCAACCTAAAGTGGCCAGCCGTGTTTGTTGAGGAACAGGGTGTGAAACTCCCTCCTAAGTGTGCACGCACACAAACGCTGTGAATTTCACAGAGGCACGGAGATGGGGTGACTGTTACCCCCACTGCCAGGGTAAGGAAGTTGGGGCCCAGGGAGGGGGCAGTGGACTCAGACCCCCAGGGGGTGGCCAGGCCTAGCTCTGGAGCCCGGGCGTGCGGCTCTGGGCAGCATGTGGCTCTCGGCAGCATGTGGCTCTGGGCAGCGTGCCCCCCATCCAGGTGCTCATGGCCCCCGGGGTGGAGTGGCTCATGGCCCGGGCAGTGCAGCCGGGGCAGCGGTGCTGGCGTCTGAGCTGGCAGGTCCTGGCAGCCCGGGGCTGGGTGCTTTACCTGCTTAACATTCCCCGGGAAAAGGCCTACTTGATATTTAGGTGCACTCTAATGGACCCTGAAAAGAAATTAGATTGATTCATTTGAGGAATAAATGTCTCCCGCCCCCTACATGGTGAAAGTCTTAAGTGCTTCCACTTAATGAAAATGGAAATCATCTCTCAAAACATTACTAAACCAATCGCAGCAATATTTAACCGTTTCCAGCACCGACCGCTCTGGCTTCTGCCTGAAGCACCGGCTAGCTAGGCCCGTCCCAGCACGGCCTGGGCCGGGGGTGGACAGTCCAGCCGCACCCCACGTCTGACTCCATCCATCACACCCCTTAGGGAAAATCACAGTTTTGAACATCTGCAGGCAGCAGACAGTGCCAAGTCCATTCACGAGCAGCATTTGGGGGAAGAAATAGCCACGACCAAGTAACCTTGACAGCTGTGCACAGACAGGGGCGGCCGATTACTTGCTACTTTGACCCGAAGAGAAGAGAACAAATCTGTGAGCCCCACGCAAGGCTCAGAGAGGGGGCACTGCCACGCTGCAGGCTGCCCTTCCGACCCCCACTCGTCCTGAATGCCTGGCCCGCTTCTCTCACCTGCCGCTGCCTCAGCCGGCAGCGCGGTGTGACGTTGAGGTTTGTGACACTGTCTTTTGTCCCCCTTCCTGGCTTGAGTGCCAAAGGCCTGGGAGTTGCGGGTGGTGAGAGAAGAGAAGGCGACTTTCGTGTGTTAATGTGAGGGGCTTTCTGAAGGCCCCTGGGTAGCCAGCCCTGGGGCACACGCTAGGGGCAAGGTGTAGAGGTCAAGTCAACGGCCAGTGGTCAGTGCCATCTAGTGAAGCCCCCACAGAAACCCCGGAGAGGCAGGGTCGGGGGCTTCCAGGTCGGGGAGAGCTGGGGGCTTGGGGCGCTGAGCACCCGCTCCCCGACCTGGCCCGAGCGCTTCTCCAGGCAGCCCTGAGTTCTGTGAGCTCCTCGGGCAAATGGGCCAAACCCGGGAGAAGGGTCCCGGGAAGCCCAGATCACGACGGGCGCCTGGGGGTGGGGTCTGGAGGGGGTGGGGCAGTCACAGTGCTGAGCCCCGGACTGGCGGCATCCGCTGCTGTCCCCAGGCTGGCAGTGAACGGAGCTGACCACAGGACACCGGCCGGCACTGGGGGATTGCTCGGTGGAGTTAGTGTCCAGACTCTAGCTTAGTCTGTGGTCTGGCTCGGAGGCGGCCGCTGGAAAGTTCATCAGACCAAGAACAACATTGATTTGGATCAAAATGACCTATATTTGACAGATGAGTGCCCGCCACCCGGGCAGAGGGGCTTTTCAGCCCATGGGTGGCCACTGCTGTTTCTCTTCTGACCGTGGCCCCGTCTCACCACCCACTGACCACACAGAGCCCCCGCCATCCTGTGAGCGCCATGGCCAAGACCCCATCTCGCTCCCCCTCTGCGGTACGACTCCCCCCCAGACTGAGCCTCTCCAGGGCAGGGAGGCAGCCCCTCGCCCCCAGAGATGTGCCCAGGACCTGCGGGCGGGGCTGGTGAGTGGACAGCTGTCCCTGCAGCACACGCTACCTCGTGCTCCTACGAGTTTGCTCCCTGGGGAACACCACTCTGGTCATTCCTTGCACAGACAGGCAGGACCACCTGCCACCCCAGTTTTATAGACGAGGAACAGCCCAAACGACTTTTTCAAAGCCCCATAGCTGCGCTGTCAGAAGTAGGACTTGCGCCTGGAGAGGCCAGGCCCATGGACCTGGGCCAAGTGTCTGGACACACACAGCGAGCTTCTTCCACGTCCATCTTAGAGATTAGTGGAACAAAAGCACCAATAGAGTAACGTGTTCGCACCAGACCACTCACCCCGTGCAGGGCAAAGGCCTAACATCTCCAGGGCCCTTCAGCGCAGCCAACACAGTCCTACATTGCTCTCACTCAGAAATGCAGGCAGGAGGTGGGCGATACGCCTAGGTGACCCCTAAATGTGACAATTGCCCCCCACTGCTGCACATAGAGGGCCCCCATCGAGGGCGGAGGGTGTCTCTCCTGCCCTTGGAGCTGGGCTGGCCATGACCACCCACGCACGAAGGGGCGAGGGTTCAGTTCCCAGATGAGCCCCCCGGAGCCTGGGATCTTCCACTTTCTCTCTGGGTGACCTGCGCTGCCGTGCCAGAAGCCAGGCCACTCAATGGAGGCAGGCGCCCAGCTGCCCCCTGAGGTTGTCCAGTCACCCCTCTGTGGATGAGGGGACGAGACTCGTGCATGCAGAGACAGCCGATGTCAGGATCTCGCATGTCCCACGGCACGGAGATCTCAGCCAAAAGCCGCTGCGAATAACCCGGCTCAAAACATCCCAACAGAGTAAGTCACTGTGTAAAGTCACTAAGTTTGGGGTCCGCTTCTTAGCCAATAAAATGTAACCCCTTTTTCTCAGGCCTGGTCCTCAAAACCTGCATCATCTTGTTCCCTTTCTTAAAGGGGGAGGCATAACTGAGTTTATCGCCTAGCTCCTTGCCGATCAATTAGCAATAAAGTTTCCTTTTCTTCTCAAAATCTGACGTCGAGGTATCAGTTTCTGGGCCAGCGGGGTAGCAGCCCACCTCACAGAACAATTGGGTGATCCCAGATCTTGACTCTAGAGGATTTGATTCCCACAACCTCCTTGGCTCCTTTTTCATGCACAGTTAACGTCGAGCACGTCATCTCCACTTGCATCTCTTATCTCCTCACTTGCTCTCTCCTCTTCCCTAAGTTTTTCTCCTTCACACCTGCTGATCTGCACATTTCCCCAGATTCACCCCTATAAGCGTTTCCACCAGGTAATCTTGATGCCTACCCTCATTTCTTATGTGGTAAGTTCCAGTTTCCTGACTCAGCGCTCTGCTACACTGAGTATCTTCCAGGACCCCTGGAGACCCACTCACCTCAGCCTCCCCAAGATTAGAACCTGGGTACCTGCTCAGCCCTTCTCCCCAGGCTATTAATATTGTTTCCTGCTCCTCAGCGTGCATGGAAAATGCTACCCTAACTGTCTGGTTGCTCGGTCCTTCACGCGAGGCGACAACCACGCTTCCTCTCGCCCACCTCTCGGACGCCATTCCCCACCCTCTCCCTCTCTGACATGAGGCCAGCCGACCCCCCATGGCCAAGTTTCTCGGGGTACCATCTGCTCTTGGGAAGTGTTTTCCGTCGCCAGGGTCCTCTTGCAACAACGCACCCACGGTCACTCTGCCAGGGGGTCTCCCTCTCCAGAATCACTCCTCCAACACGCAACAGGACTTACTGGGTGGCTCTGCATGTCTTGCACTCTGTGTTGGCCTGACACACGGGGACATGCACAGTGACCCGTAGGAAACAAGCACCCCATTACCGTCGTCCCGCTCACCTGTCTGCCCCGTGATGGAGGCGCTCAGTCTGTGGGGGATTCTTGAGGACACCTTCAAGGTCATTCGGATCTGGTAATACCTGGGAAAAGAGCAGAGGACAGGTCGCTGAGGATGGGGCTTTTCATTGCTGACTTCTTCTGAAAATGCCTGGACTTACTCTTGAAAGTCACAGGGAAGCAGGGAAGCTTCTAGGTCGTCTGCACGGTCACCTGGCATTCAAGAGTGTCATTCTGTCTGCACAGTGGAGAGGGGCAGGATGGGACCAAATTGGAGACAGAAAGTTGAACTCACTTGAGAGCCTAAAAGACTCACATGGGTTGGTGGTGATAGATTAAGAGCAAGAAATAGATGGATCGCAGGGCACAGGTACACGAAGGGGTATGATTCTTCCTGAGTCAGAAAAGTCCATTTCATGAGAAAATGGGAGCTTTAATGCAGGGCACAAAATCAACCCATCAATTGAGCTGCTATCAGGTACAGTATGACCGACACTTGAGACACACAGCAGCTGCGTTCCCGGCCCTGGGGTCCTGTCAAGCTTTTCCAGCCAGCTTTGTGCCCTTTTTAAAATATCTCACTCCCATTTCCAAATGTCATCATCCCAGGACAGAGTGTGGGTTCTCGCACTGCCAGCCAGCCTGCTCGTTGGCCCGCCGAGGCCACAGGTGCACAACAGCTCTGGGAGTTCTGCACGTTGCGATTAATGGCCCTTTTGCTCGCAAGCACTTGGGAACATTTCTGGCGTCATAATTGTGCCCCCCTTCCATTATGGAAAGAGAATAAAATGGAGAGAAATAGAACCAGGTCAGGCATACGTCAGTCTCCCTGGCTCGCTAAGCTCAGGCTGCATCCTGCTGCTATCGACGCCACTGCACTGTGAACACACTCATGGAATATTCCACAGCGGCCTCGTGTTGACGTGTCTGTGATGGTCTGAGGGGATGTGGGGCAAAGAGCACTGGATTCAAAGCAGCAGTGTGGGCGATGCCTTTGTGTGCTGTGTGACTCTCAGTACATCACACAACTTCTCTGACCTGGTTTCTATATCTGCAAAATGAGGATGAAAATACAAGGAAGTTTCGAGTCATGATTTCTGCTTCTCGGCAAGACAGCTGGTCTAGGGACCTCGGGCCCTCAGGGTGAGATGCTGGTGAGAACAAAAAACGTTCTTTTTGTTCACACATCCCAGAGTGACGACACCAGAATCCAACAACACAGAAATGGTAACAGTACAAGATGAAAAAGTCCCAACAAGAAAGTCTGCTGTCTCCAGTCAAGGGGACAGACAGGGGCAGCCGAGCCGAGCAAGACAAGAACTTTAAAAACACAGCAGTTCTACTCCGGCTAAGCGACACAACCCTTGTGGCCTCACCTGCACCCTTCAGCAAAGGCACAGGGCACTCTGGTGTCCACGTTGCTGTGACACCTGCTAATCACCCAGCTTTTCAGGGTAAGACAGAAATTCCGATTTTTTTAATTGTGCCAATGTGCTTGCGGTGCTACGAGGTGCTTGGGGAGGCCAGGCTCACGCCCCAACCTATGCATACACCTCATCGCACTCTCTGCCCTACGTTCTTGTGCCAGCCCCACGGCCAAATTGACCCCCGGCTACCCAGGAATTTAGATTTTTAATAAAACATCTTTAAGATGTTTAGATGCTGGCTCATAACTCAGTGACAATGAGAACAGCAACAGCCAAAACAATCAGCAACAGACCCGTGGCCACTCACTCCCGGTGCAGCGCTGGGTCCGCCTGATGATATGCGGCGGCGGGCTAAGTCCCCAGGGCCAAGAATTGGCAACTCCAATTTATACTAATAAATTATAAAATATTATTTGTAATGTTTCTATCAGATTTACACATTTTAATAATTTGATCACCCAAGGAGGAGGCATAAACACTAACTGAATATTCTCTTGTCTTCTGTGAACATAAAATGAGCCAATCATGGCCAGGGCTTATGCATCATTTTTCTATGAGACCGTGTTTGGCTCAAGATTTAGTTAGCAACTGAACACACACTAGAAAGGTCCATGCATGTGATCTTGTTTGAGCCTCCCTAAATCTGCTGTGAAGGAAAGCATTCTCTCAAGTGTCAGCCAAAGACACTGGGCATTGGAGATACCAAACTACTTATCCAATTGGTTCTGCGAGTAAAAAGCAACCAATAGTCTAACTCCCAAGACAATTTTTTTTTTTAACCTGCTCCACCTCATAGGCATCACATTTTGTTGCTTAAATTAAAGCCCTTTTATAACCAATCCCAAAGCAACTGTTTATTTCTTTAAATGTACTGGTTCCACCAAATCTGCCTTCAAGGAATTAGTTCCCATCTTAAAACTTGGATGCTCTAGGCACACATAGAAAGAAATGTTTCCAATAGGTTGACCATCTGGACTCTGTCCTGTTGAAAGGCAACACTGACCCTTTAATAATTCTCTTTAGTGTGACACAAAGTTTCTGCCAGGTTGTAAATCCACTAAACATTTCACACATGACATAAGTGATATTGCTTGATCCTTACAGGGAATCCCTTATGCACTTACCAGGATTTCCTGCTCAAAGAAGAGAAAAATACTGACCTCTGGGGATGAAGGGATTTGTCCAAGTTCACACAGTCAGTAAGTAATGTTGGCAAACCTCCAAGAAAGACCTTATTATTTCACACAGGGGGATCCTTTCACACCAGGAGCCACCCAAGGGAAATATGGTCAAGAAAGGAGCATTTAGTTCCAGGCCATGGAGAATAAGCAAGTGGTAGAAGAAAGTGGGGAATGAATTCCAGGCAGAAGGAAGCTAGACCAGGAGGTGAAAACTTCGGACGGTGTGCAGGCGTGTTTGCACAGGACTCCTTTCGGGGAATGATAATAAACATAGCCATCCCTGGTCGACCTCTGTCTGCAAGAGTGGTGCTGACTTATCCCCTTGACATAACTGCGTAGGGAATAATGTCTTTTCCAAAGACATCTACCTCCTAATCTTAGCAATCTGTGAAGGTTATGTTAGGGAGAAAGGCTGTCCTGAGCGAATTCCATATAGGCTTTGTGGACGCCCACCCCCCTCCCCCCCCCCCACCCCGACTCCTTCAAGACACCAGGAACTACAAATCCCAGGATCCCCAAAGGGAAGTTGCGAGGACCTAAGGGCGGAGTTAAGCAGCCATGTTCTCTGTTTGTAAATAAAACCAGCCGGGTTAGTGGGGTGGGGCCCACTTGGCTCCTGCTCTCGCCAGGCAGGTTTGGTCCCTGCGGGTCACTTGGGATTCCAGGTTGGCGGAACGGGTGGGACGCATTTGAGAATTTATCTCCCTCTTTTCTCCCTGAGTTGTACATTTCCTCATTTCCCTTGTAAATAAACCTTTGTTAACCTTTAGTGTGTGCCTGCAGTGTGAGTCCCCTTTAAGCACTTGGGTGAGGACCCACAGTCAGGTGAGGACCCACAGTCAGGCAACCCGTTTCAGAGCAGGGTTGCCCTGTAACAGCTAGGCAAGTGAAAAGCAAAGTGACTAACCAGTTGGCCTTGAAATTAGGATGTTATAATAGATTTCCCAGGTGTGCCCCATAGTCACCAGGTGTAGTGGCAGGAAGGGCACTGAGCAGGTTTCCTATGATTTGAGCAGACCGGTTGGGTAAAGGAGAGTCCTGGAGCCCTCGGTGGCTTTCTCAGGCTTTATTGAGCTTCAACATGTGATGCAGCAACCAGGTACACGGCAGGCAGGGGTGCCGGGGGGCCAGGAGGCCAGCAGGCCTCCAAGCCCCCAGCAAGACTTCCCTCTGGCTACTCTGGCGTTATTTCTCCCCTTCCTCTTCTGCCTCTGCTTCTCTTGGCCAATATCTCATTACTGCTGCCATGGCCCACAGAAGTAAACAACACAACTGATAACACTGTAACAAATGCAGGTGCCCCATCAGGCAGGGCAATCCTAATGGCAGGAGGGCACAAAAGCCTGAAAATCATTTACTCTACACCAGGGTAATTTCTGAGCAAAAAAAATGAGGCAAAAGAACAGGGACGGTGGTAGAGTAAGACAAAGGGAGAAGTGGTTCTGACGGAAGGGGCCACCAGCCAAGGAATGTGCGCGGCTGACAGAATGGGCAACAGACTGTCCCCCTGGATCCTGCACAAGGAGCGCAGTCCTGGCAACACCTACGTCAGCCCGGTGAGAACCACTTCAGACTTCTGAGCTCCAGGATCCCTCAGTCATAAATGCATGTCGCTTGAATCCACTCGGTCTGTGGTGATTTAGCACAGCAGAGATGGCCTTTGGGGACACAGAGACTGGCGGTTTATGCTCCATGCACCTGCCCATAACTCCCAGCACTCTCTTTATCACCAAAAACCCATCACTTTCTCTTCCTAATCAGTCAGAGTATTTCCCTCCACGAGCCAAAACACAGCATTCCTGTGCTAACGGTGGTTTTGAGAAAACAAAGAAAAATACTTTTAGTGAAGTATGACTACGGAAAACTTCCCACAGCTGGCTCCGTCTCCATGAGCCCAAGGGACACAGTGCAGAGAACTTTAGAGGCAGGCAGATAGGGCTCAAATTCCCAAGGACCCCAAACTCACAGAGGCTCCATTTTCTTATTTTTAAGAGAAACATTGAAATATGAACATGACGGAACAAAGTATAAAGGCAGAGAGAGACAGCGCAGCATCTGGCAGCGTTTCTGTAATGCAGCGATGGCACCTCCCTCCAAACACGCTCACAGTGTCTCTCACTTGAAATTCAGAACAGCCGTGGGGCCCGCTGACAACTGAGGGCTGGGGAGCTGAATGAGGGACTGGGCAAGGGAAGAGGTCTTGGGGCTTGCACGTCCTGGGGTAGAATGAGGGGACTCCTCTCCCCAAAGGCTGAGGCATTTGGTTGAGCCTCTTCGAGGTCTTAGACACCTGCGTGAGCTCTGGAGTGCCCACGTCCTGCACTGCCACCCATCCTGGGCCTGGACCGACAGCGGGAGCCAGACAGAATAGCCAAAAATGTCTCAGGCGCTGCGCTCCAGCTGCATTGACTCTGGCTGACCACGGCACTGTGTAAACATAAGAAGCATGGCACAGTGGCTTTATACCCACACGTA